AGTATTAATATAGTTTGCGTCCGCGTGGTACTGCCTAGTAAGTTACTAGACTACATCATGCTTTAAGTTTTGACAGTGGTGAAGAATAACACGCTACAGCTGTACTCACGTTCTCATATTCATTTTTGACTTTTCAATCCAGCCAAGAACTAAGGAGTTTTTGTAATTTGTGGCGCAGGAAATAAAGCAATCTAAATGTGCTGAGTACATCACTGTTGATCAACAAACACACAAACATTTTCATCAGTACTGCCTTGCCTGCCGTCCTCTACAGTGGAACATTGGGGCCAAACGGCCAACTTCTCATTGGGGCTACTTTGATTTATCCCGGGGAATTATCATAAACATAAACAAACCTTGTCTGGCCCATTCAGTATGTCCCTGGTGTTTTACAAATCTGGCGTTCTTGTAAAAACCCTTGTGGACGTCCTGGATATTCACATTTAAACATACATCTACAAAAAGAACATAATCATAATTATGTATTAATTCATATATTAATCCATGGCGAAAACTCTGAAGATCGTGGGATTAGATGGAATGAAGTGCCAGTGGGTTGCGGAACAAGACTTTTTATTGAAATTCTCGGGTCAATTTATAGACACCTTTTTTTTTTGTTTTCTTTTTCTCCAACCTGTTTGACTGAGTTGTGCTCACTTGGTTATGGTTTGACAGATTTCTTCTCCCGGAACAAGTTGGATGTCAAAGCTGTCTATAACCGTTAAAACTACTGACGTCACAAGCGCAACAAGAGATCCGCACAGGCGGTTCCGGGTGGTTCATCTCTCGGCTACTCAGCAAGTATCCCGTTCAACGACGCGGACGGTAACGAGAACGTAAAAAAAACAATAGGTTTGATTAGCAAAACAACTTTGCACGTGCACCACGCTTTTTTGTACATTTCTTTGCGACTACGACGTGAACATGCCTAATTTCGCGTTTTACGGAGGACGTAAACAAGCAACGACGAAATTTTATTTCTCTTACTGTACTTGGATATGGTGGCTAGGATTCAACTCCAGGAGGGTTCGCCTACATTTGACAAAGTAAGTGGGTAGGAACAATTACGATATAGACTGAAAGAACGCAAATTCACTTTTTAAGCGACGTTCTCATTGCCTTCGCGTCGTTGGATCTTCAATAAAGTCACGTTTGTGTGTGAACGGAAGTCCCATCAAGTATGGTTTTCTTGCCGGTCTAAGAGCTATCCAACATAGTATGATCATATACCCAAGTGTCCTGTTTAACGATAACTTTATTTACAGCGATTTTCGTATGACCTTGAAACGAAAACGCGCGAACAAAACAGAAACAACCAACGAACGCAAATAGAGCGATTTGATTGGTTTATGGGACGGATACAAACGAGCGTGGCTTTTGGTTGGTTAAGCGAACGATCAGGTGAAAAAACTTCATGCCCGAGAACTTTCTAGAAATTAATCGATTCTTCGCTTTGACGTCATACTGCAACACGATTGGCCAAGCGAACAATACCTTGTCCATATTAGGGTTTTCTTTGGCGGGAAAACGAAGAGTCCATGTTTTGATTTTTTCATCCATTGGCTGATAAAACAAACAACGAACACTTAACGAAACCATTGTTCAAGGTTATACGAAAATCGCTCTAACAAAACTTGGCAGTGTATACCTTGTTTACTACCAGCAGGCTGAGATGGTCGGTCAAACAAAGCCATTGTCGCCGCTGAAAAAAGCAGTGCATTGACTTGACCATGTACATCTCCAAACACAAGAATGGCTTCATTTACTTTATAAGGATTGCTCCTGTAAAGAAAGTAAGATCTGAATGCATAATGCTTCTCTCGATGTTACTTTAGTCCAAAATAGAAATATTTGCACATAACTATCTGCGGCAAGTCTCGTAAATCTCTATTGCAACAGGGGCACCCAACGGCAATTTTCGGGAAAATATCTGTTCGGAAGACTATTTGAGAACTAGAATTTTCGGAACATTTGTTGTAAAATTTCTTGCTTGCCTGCCTCTCCTAGGATTTTCGAACATCTACAAAATGGTATAATTACCCATTTTAAACGGATATTTACCCTAAAAAAGGCCACCTAGAATTTTCGGGAGCCTTTTTCGGGCTGAAATTTTCGAAAAGGTAAGTTTTGATCCCTATAATTTTCGGATCACTAGACTTTCAGCTAGGAAATCCGAACAGATGAAAAGTTTTTAGGGGATAAAAATATGCCTATATATCTACCGTTTAAATACTAAAATACGTTCAACAATGCTATGTTAAGTGGTTTTGAACTATATCCTCGTTGGGTGCCCCTGTTGCAACGAGAAAAGTATTTCTTTACTTTAGGGTATATTCATTTGCAACAGTACGCGTTATACGTTGCATCTGCGCACTGAAAATTTTAGCGTTCTTAAGCTTAAATAGTCGAATAACTATGCATTCGCAGCAGTCAGAAAATGTGACGGCTGTAGGAGTAAGCTACAAATATATACAACCTTAGTGAATGTACTCACCAGTAATCCATACATAAAGGAGTGTGTTCAAGGCCTTGTATGCGATATTGACAGTTGAACTCTGATTTGGAACTCAAATCATATATAGCTATCGAAAAATAATCATAAAAACAAACAAACAAACAAGAAAATTAATACACTGCAGGAAAATTCGAGGCCATTTTAGTAAAAATGGGTAAGATAAAACAGTTTGCCACAAAAAGCTAGCTACTTAAGTACTTTCCTGAAATTAGAGTCTTGTGTTCTCCACTAGTCTGCTACACAGCCGTTTTTAGTGTCCTCACGCAACGCTCCTCCCCGCTAACTAGTGGGGAGGAGCGTTGCGTGACGACACTAAAAACGGCTGTGTAGCAGACTAGTTCTCCACATGTTCCACAATACATTAGATGCTATGATGTTTTAATATACTGTCCATTCTTAGGTTTCGTCTTTTAGACAGGCCGTTTTGATACGAATATTCTTCGTTCTGTAAGGTAACTACGCGCGAAACTAGTCTGATATGTATTTAGAACTCGACTGAATCTACTTGTGTCGAAACGAGCAGTACGCGTTAAGATGTTGAAATAATAATGTCCCTCTCCTTCTCGGCCTGTACTGATACATTGTACAAAAAGACTAATATATCAAATTACCGATTTCTTTGCTGGTCAGCGCGAGGGCCAGTTTGTAGATATTTTGCATTGGTATAAAGTCTGTCACCCAAAGATCCCTTTGTTTAACTTCTTCTGGATCTGTTTGAACCTTCAGGCACAATGAAAGCATCAAGATTAAAAGTTCCCTGATAACGAAAGGCAATTTCCTGCGACCTATGTACTTAGCAGGCGCACGAAATAATAGGAACGGCAGTGTGGAACGCGAGGGAAGAAGCCACAAATTTACAAATCTGGGGTTCTTGCAGCCTGAGAAAACAACCGACATTTCTCGACGCCACGGGTGGTTTCCCGCAGAATGAAGTCTGAGAAATGAGCGCAGAAATTCCATACTGATGACGTGTCACTAGCCAGATCTGGGCAGTGCCCCTGATTGGTTAGAAATTTGATTCATCCAATCAGAAGCACTACCCAGATCTGGGTAGTGACGCGTCATCAGTATGGAATTTCTGCGCTCGTTCCTCAGACGTCATTTCGAGGGGAAACCAGTGATTGCGTCGCAAAACGTCAGCTGTTTTCTCAGGTTACGGTTCTTGGATATTCTCATTATTCATAATTCTGTGTGCACACAGAAATTATAACATAATCATTATCATTTTTGTTATCTTTACACAGAGATGTCAAGCTAAAGGCTTTTAAGCATAGCATGTATGTTGCATGCTCTGAATTTTCCTGCCGTAGACTGATAAGATCCCTACCTGAACTGTCCTCAGCAGTTTCATATTTAATGACCAGAGAGTAATTACACCTTCCTACAAAACAGATTTTAAAAAGTAATAAATAAAAACGTAAAAGGCAACAAATAGTAACGAAATTTTTTTGTCACAGACACATGCACACAGTTGCTCAGGACCCCCCAGTGGGGGAGGGGGTGGGGGGCATTGAACAAGTTTTACACTGACGATTTGACCCTATAGCGTCACTTATTGGACTTTGATGCTGACCTTACTGACAACAATGTAACGTGATGGATTCATCAAAGGACATGTTCTAATAATGGCTTCTTTGTGAGGACTGAAAAAAAAAAAGAAAAAACATTAATTGAATTATTATCAAGCACAGTATGCGTGAAAGCTAGTAAACTGTTAAATTTTTGTTTCTCCTCCAGCTGTTAATAATGGCCTTGATAACAAAATTTATACAACAGTATGTGCATTTCATGTAATGCTAACCTTGCGATGTTTCTTAACTCTCTCCACTGGGGAACCTAAAGGTAGATTAAAGATTGGTCAAAAGTTTGTATTTCAATATCTGAATAATACATTAGTCAAGTGAGGAAAGCAAATTGAGGTGATGCTAAACAGGATAAGCTCAACCAGTTGGTAGAGGGCTTAACTGTAGAGCTGGAGTTCGGGTTTGATTCCTGTACCCAGACCAATACTCAGGGTCTTAAAATAACTGAAAAATGAAGGTGCTGCCTTTGCCCTTCAAACAGATGGACCTATGCATTGCTCAGGTGAACATGTAAAAAAGAATCCTTAATTAGTACTTTCATGCTAAATACATTAATTTTACACTCAAATTAAATGTTTTTCTACTGGTATTGTAAGAAGATAAAGTCACAGATGAGCCAAAGGCCTAAACTGCCGGAGCTTATCTGGTTTCCTTAGCATGAAGCATGCCTGGGAGTATTGTTCAATACTTCCCTCTGAATGGGATACTAGTCCATCATAGGTTACCCCCCAGCAATATGTTGCTGGCACATTTTTTGTGTTCCAATTTATACACCTGGGTGAAGAGAGACAAAGTGGAGTAAAGTTCCTTGTCTCTGGTGACACACACAACACAATGGGGTGTAACTGGGGGGTGGAATTATGGCCTTAAATGACTGTTGATTCAATGTCAAATTCTCTCTTTATTTCACAAAGCAAAGAAGTTTTTACATGCAAGGAGATTCTAGCAGTTTACCACAAGTCACTTGAGGCTTTTATTCCATGCAGTGCTCCTATTAAAAATCCCATTTAAAAATCCCTGTGTGTTGATTACCTGGGTGGTTTTCATTCTATCATCTTTTTCATAGTATTCAAGTAACATATGAGAACAGAACTTGTCCCAGTCAACATAACCCTCTTTGCCCACGTCAATCTTGTTAAACAGATCCTCATATTCTTCTCGTGATCCTTTGTTCAAGACAATAGACAGAATCTCACAGAATTGATCAACATCTAAACTAAGCTCACGATCATGGCCAGACTGGTTTATCTGAAAAAAGAAGTTTAAGCAGCTGAACATATTATAAATAAAGTGATTTTAAAACAATTCGCCAGGATGGTGTTTTGGGGCTATTTCTTAAACGCCTCAGTAATTACTGGGCCCATAAAGCTCACTCACAGCAGTCAGATGAAAATATTAGGGACTACAGTGTGTATAAACAGTTTACTTTTATCACAGTTTAGTGTAAGTATATACATTATTTTATAAGTACCGGTAAATACAAGTGCAATGAAAATTAACAATAATAGAGGTGGGGGGGAGGGGTATCATTTAACTGCGACTTCTTCAATCAGTCATTTAGTGAACTTACATAACAGGGTGGGAGAGGAAGGACGATGGCAAACATTGTGTGACAAACATGACAGTAATAATGTTTGAAAAAACCCTCCGCCAATCTTCAAGAGCAAAAAGTATCAATGTTAAGTGAATTCCTGACAAAACACGCAAGTAATAGCCCCGTCACGTTTGTCACACTCAAGCATTTTGCTTTTCTCTTCTTTCCGCTGTCCTGTTTTGAAACTCACTAATGCCGCAACTCAGTGCAGGGCCCAACAAGTGGTTAAATTATCCCTAATGCTAAACTATCACTAAAACCTTCTGAAGTCACCCAATAAATCAATACAACTAAAAAATGAGTAAATATGTATTTATTAGTGATTGAATGAAACCATGAGAGCTTAATGACATGTACAACAGATAAATCAGTAGCTTAAGTTACCATGAAGGCATCTTGAACTGCTTTTAAATCATGCATTGTCAGACGGCTAACGAGCTTAAAACCACTGTTAAAGGCTGCCATCTTTGGATCAGCTCTCCTGGAGAATACAAACATGTACATGTATGATCATTGGCTACGCACATTAGCTGGGGAGCATCTCATCAGAGAGCATGTTGATCCAAAAGAACTAAACCCTGAGGTTTTCAAGGAAGATGAATTCTGTCAAGTGCAAGTATCTTTTTCTTCCCCCTGTATTTCAGCCATGCTTGCTACAATATTTATTGTCTTTCGAAAAAGTTTCTCAATAAACAAGAGAAAATGATTTTTATTATTATTATTCCTTAATGATATCCAATTTGCATGTTTTCAGGTAATTACAACTTGTTTTGGTTGTGATCAGTTGCTCAATTATTATGGTAAATCAATAATAAGTTGTCGGGCTTAACACACCAGTCGTCATCTGAGATTAAACTGTAAATGGAAACTAAGAAAAAACAGATCTACTGAAGGGTGCAAGCAATGTAACAGAGAACTGCAAAGGGAACTGGTACCTAGGAGGTTCATGCCCCCATGCCTTTTTTGGCTTTAGTTTTTATCATCCTCCCCCAACATTCGCCGCAATGGACTCTCGTTCACATGTAACATTCATCGCTGAAGTTCTACATTTTAATCTTCTTTCAAAATGATTTAATGGCGATGACAGAAGTCAAGGTTTACTGTCATCTTTTCGTCAGATAGGCAATTCAACTTTTCAGCTGTGATTTTTGTTTTCTTATTATCTCAATGGCTGAGCACAGGCAGTTCTAATTCTTACCTTTCGCCACTTGCTTGCTGTGGCTGTTCAGCATTTGTAAATGCGACGGAAGAGTCTTCTGCTTTAGGTGATTTGGACATTTTAGACATCAAAAGTCGAGATAAACATTTATAATCTTCGATCTTTCCGCCATCATTTTCTAGTCAGTCAACAACATCCAGCAACCATAGCAATCGTGGCTCGTACCATTCTTTCCCGGAGCGTTTGACAACTGGTTACCAAGCCATGACGTCATTCATCAACAATATGGCAGACGGAAAACGCATAGTTGTCGTTGACAAAAGCGATTTTTAGACATTGTATGTGGCTAATGATCGAAACTTATGTGACAGGAGACATATGTTAACATCTTAGATGGCGCTCGTAAAAAGAGATAACCAGTTCTCTGTTGCTACGATTCAAGAGTCGACGAAGGAACAAAAAAGGACTAATGTAAAAGTACTCGACGAAGAGACATACGTGCAAGTAGGTCATTTGCAAGGTTATTATGACCTTTTTGAGAAATTGAACAGAATTTTAGAGTCTCTATTTCTGTATACGGCCAGCTCTACTATGTATGGCCAAGTGTTTATGTATGTTTTTAATTTAACTTGTGTCTTTTCCTGGGTGTATTTGTTACTCAACGTTCGTACAAACTATTTTGCCATGATTTCTCATAACGAATATTTCATGGCTGGAAACTTTGAAAAAAGAAGCTGAGGAAATGGATGATAGAAATGAAAGGGTCAACAAAATGAGAAACTACAGAGTACTATTTCCACTCACCTTTGTACAATGTAAGCATCCAATCGCTGTGGTTAACCATGTCTTTCTTTTTTCTTGCGAGCAAACTCTACAGGAACATTGTGGATCCAATAAAACTAAATGTTTAAATGCTAATAATTGCAAATAACAGTTTTTCCTTTTCATGAACGGTCAATTTTCTCTTTACAGTCGTTAAATAAAATCATACAAAGAGACTTCTTCCCAGAGCTTCCAAAATTAAGAGCACAGCATGAATATTTGGATGCCGTGGAACACAATGATGTGGAGAAACTGAGGGAAATTTCAGCCAGATATCAAGTCACGCAGACACCTGGTGGAAGATTAGGTAGGAATAGTCCATGCACAATAGTAGTTTAGCTGGAAAAAGTTATGGTAAATACAAGTCCTGTACATGTACTATAAGATACTGTAAAATTCCAAAAATGAGCCCCTCCATGTATAAGCCTCTCCAAATATAAGCCCCCCAAACTCGTAACGCAAAAAACCCTCTGTTGAATTCCCCCTCCACATATAAGCTCCTGGGGGATTGTACTTGGAAATTGCCCTCAAATACAAAGTAAAACAAAGCAAAACCGATAAATTTCATTCTAACTGTAAGGCTAGCCCCGTCGATTTTGAAACACAAATTTCCGTCCATAGATAAGCTCCTCCGAATATAAGCCCTCAAAAAGAGCCTTTGAAAAATATAATCCCCAGGGCTTATTTTCAGAATTTTACGGTTATATTAGTAATAATCAAATGTGTCCTCTATCCTAAAATTAGTTTCCTAGACACAAAAAACCATAATGAAATAAGCACTCTTGCCCAATGAATGTGCCCTTCACAAAGAAAGAACAAAGTTAATCTATGCTGAATGGTACCATATTTAAAGATACAACCTTTTGATGCAGTACTTTACATTGATAAATTATTGTGACCTGCCACACAATAGCCTGATGCTTATCAGCCAAGCTCCATAAACAGCAATGCAAGTGATCATTTTCACTTTCATGTTTGTTTTTCTATTTTCAAGCCACCCCAGCTACTTTTGAGACACCAAGCACAATCCAAGGAACTCCAGCACCATCTCAGCCCATCTCAGACAACAGCAGAGGGACTGCAGAAAACAACAGCTCAACAGAAAACAATTCGAGTAGTAAAAAAGATGAATCAGATTTCACACTGGACAGGTTCCTTGCAAAGAATACAAGTGAGGACAATGCCTCATTTGAGCAAATCATGGAGACATCTACACAGAAACGCAGAGAGAAGTATCAATGGCTTTATGAAAGAGAGCAGGAACAGAAAGAAAGGAAAGAGGAAATCCTGGCCTTGCCAGCTTCTGAAGAAGGCGATCAGTTTAAGTACGAAGACAGGCCTTCAATGATAGAGACATGGAACTATACAAACAAAAATGCACTTATGTATTACCCTGATGGGGTGGGAGCATCGGTGAAAGAAACAATTGAGGGCAAGTACATCAAAAGACAACAGATATTGCATGCTAACAGCAGGTTTAAGAAGGATCCATTTCCTGAGGATTCTTGTGAGGACAAACTAGCAGCCGCTGCTGCGACTCGCTTAGCCGCCCAGCAAGGAAGGATTGGAGTGGATGGGCAACTTCAGGGAAGCAATGAAACACCTAATGTTAAGGGGTATGGATTTGTGGCCACGCCCTCTCCTGCTCCAGGTATGTACATTCATTAATCTTAATCCTTAAAGTCACATTATCCACATACAAACTCTCCATACATTTCCTTGAAGAATTAGATGAGAGAATTTGGAAAAAGATCAAAGCCTTTTTCCCTTGGGGATCATTATATTATTTTATTGTCATAACCTCTTCTCTGGATGATGTATAGATATTGTTAAGAGAAAAAATAATTTTATGAGTTGTAGAGTAATATTCTGATTCTCACTGGAACTTAAAATCAAGAGCCCTCTGTTATGGGTGGCCATATTGGTTTCAAATGCACCGAGGGGTGAGCCCTTGGCTTAATAGTGGTGGAGGGCGGGGGAGGGAGGTGAGAGACCTGATACATTTGAAACCAAGGTGGCCGCCCTTAGGGTAGGTTCTCAATCTCGAGATCATACTGAAAAATGGGGGGACTGTGAAAAGTCTAAGGTGATTAGCGGTCTGAGAATAGTCGTTAATTTAACGAGTGGCAATCCTTCTATTTCATGAATATGTACACTGCAGGTTCATATTTAAGGTCACTGATCTTCTGTCATGTACTTCAGGTGTAGATGCATCACCTCTAATGACTTGGGGAAGCATAGAAGGCACCCCTTTTCGTTTGGATGGGGGAGACACGCCCATTGCCGGCACCCCTGGACCAACATTTAAAATGCCAGAACCAAAGAAACGAGACCAGCTTGGCCTGGCACTAGCAGAGAAGGTTAGCAGACAACACAGAGAAAAACGACGACAAGCTCTAGCAACAGCCACTGCAATGATTGGCAGGTACATTTAAATAATATCATTAGCGTTTATTGTACACAGGCGGCCCATTGCCCGGAGTTACAGGCCAGTTCATTTTTAGATTGGTGTTCATGCACATTTTGCAAATCAAGTAATTCTTTACAGACCAGTTAACAGGTTGGTGTTTTGGTGTTGTCTTTTTTTTCTTATATCATATGGCAGATGAGACGCACTCATTTATGAGGCAGCACTTCCATTTTCGCGGAAATAGTACGCAAACATAATGTTAAAAATAAACTGACCTGTAGGTAGCCGTTGCATTGGCCACAGCATTAATTTTATCACATATCAAACATCACCAAGACCTTAATGACGATCCGCGCCTAAAGTACTGTTAAACAGTTAAAATTCCTTATACAACTGTGACCCAGGGTTCCCAAGTAGGTCATGGTTTTGTTACCAAGGGCACCTAGTTCCATTAAACATAAATTCCGGTTTGAAATTTTGGAAATTTCACGTGGCCAATGGAATGGTACATTCCGGTTGCACAGAGCTGACCCAAGCCACCACGCATTTGGTTATTATTCTTGTAAGCAGGATGCAAAAGAGGGGTACTGGGGACAACAATTTTCTCAAATGGAAACGGACATTTCGGTCCGACCAACCGAAATGACCAGACCAGTCAAAGTGGACCACCTTCAAAGGTGGTCCCAAATATTCCGGTTGGACCTAACCGAAATGGTATGCTCCATGTGATTTCTAACTGAAATTTCCAGAATTTTGGGCTGAATGGAAAGTGCTCTAAGTGATGTTCAGTTTGTGTTTATCTTTGTTGCATAGGAGTCCCAAGCATATGAACACGGTGGATCGTTTGGGGCAGATGTCTCCTGCTGCCCAGAGGCTAGCATCTCAGAGACTGGGAATAAGAACGGGAACTGATAAATCTTTAAGAGCAAGTTACACCCCATCGCCTGCTCATAGCTTATCAGTGGACACCACACCCACCTACCATCGAGCTTCAACTCCTGCTACTCCACAGGAGAACAGTTCAACACCATCGAGGAGTGTATCTCTCACAGATAACCTTCTCAGGTTACCAAAACACTGACACAGCCTTCATCAGATGATTGATAATCCAGACATACAATTAAGCTTTTCATTTGGAAAACTTTAACGAGTTAAAACAACTTTCGGCCCATGTTACAACTGACACTACATGATTTCGATGCAAAAGGTGATAGCACGCTGCACGAACAGTAACAGAAAGCATAATAAAAGTTTTCTTGAGTTGATCCCTGGTTTAGTCTTTAAGAGGTGACCAAAATAAATTCAATTGTGAGTATAATTTTGAAATGAGTACAGGTGACTCAACAGACACCCGGCTCTATAGGACGGACACCTCTGCAAAATGCATAATTAAAGTTGGTCCCTACCTTTCTTTACATTCTACTCGTTCTAAGCCGGACACCTTTTGGACCTGCACTAAGTGTCCGCCGTCTTAGAGAGATGTCCTTCTTATAGAAAAACAAATAGGAGGAGTAAAGAAAGGCAGGGATCAACTGGCGGTAGGCGTCCGTTTTACGGAGGTGTCCGTCTCATAGAGGTGTCCGTTAAGATAGTGTCGGCTGTACTCCCCGCTTTATTTGTTTCTCTATAAGACGAACATCTCCCCGAATACGGACATTAAGTACTGGTTCCAAAGGTGTCCTGCTTAGAGACAGTCAGACTGTAAAACAAAACCGGGTCTCAACGCCCTAGCTGAGGTTGATTCAAAACATCACGACAAAATAAGGATGAACTGAGGGAGTGTAAAGTATTAATGAATAAAAGCAATGCTTAATTTTATTTTTTCTACCGAAACTTTAATTTTTTCAGATCTGACTCATTAAATCATTGACTCATGACTCTTGACTCATTGACTCATTTGACTCATAAAACATCCGTTCTCGAACTGAGAAAGCATTAGCGATTAGAACCACAGCTAACGATTGTCGTAAAGAACAAAGAAAGAGGAGAAACAGATACCACTATCAAACGCTTTTGCACGCCTCGTTTTATCGCCCTCGCCCGTCCTTAGTACCAGTTTGCTAGCTTAGGGGCGGCTAGGGGGGAAGAATTGTTCTCTAGTGGAAAGCACTTTTCTTAAGATATGGACGGTGTTTAGTAGACTGATCTTATTATTATTGTTCACGAGGTGCGCAAGTAAACTCTTCGAGGTTATCAAGAGTAATCTTCCAGAATTCCTTTTCTGGGTCGTAGCTAGCGATCGCATCAGTTGCAGCGGCGAACATAAGGAAACCAGCTTTTTATCAGTTCTACACGATAAATATATTGTTCAGTAAGAATTATAATATCATTTCATTGCTAAATCAGAATTTTTATTTTTCATCTAATAAAACAATTTTTATGCGATAATACATAATTACGTACATTTTTTAGTTGTCATGTGTGAAAAGTTGTCTGAGTATTTAAAGTCGTTAAATGATTACTATATTCATCTTATTATCAATCAAAAGCCGGTTAAAATCGTCACATTTTGTTTTGGATACTATGTGTTTAACAGTGGTTATAAAACTTTTGTGTTGCCCGAGGCTTGAAAAGACGGCTACTTAACCCTTTAAGCCCCAAGAGTGATCAGCATCAAATTTCTCCTTGTAATATCAATGCTTTGTAAAACAGAGTGGTCATGAGAATTACGGACATGATCAGACAAGATGAATTTGCTTAATATTTTATCAACTTCTCGCCTTTACTTCTGCAGGAAATGAATAGGAGCAACAAATGAGAATTCAAATTTTGATCTTAGGGCTTAAAGGGTTAAAACATGTTAAAAGTCAGTCTTGCCTTTGCCCCAGTCTACTTCACCATCACAGTTTCGTCGGTATAATTCAAGCTGTGATGAGTTGCGTTTAAATTCGTTAACATCTTCAAAGTGTACAAAATAGCAAAATTTCAAGGGGACAAAAAGAAAAAACAAAACAAAAGTAAACTAAAGAGAAAATGAAAACAAACAAAACGAAAACAAAAATGTGAAATTCAAGGTATTCAACCCTTACCTCAGTCCGTCAACTTCACATTTTTTTTTTGGATTCGTTCTGTACTTCCGTTCAGTGATGTATGTGTTGCGTTTAAATCTCAAACGCAGTTTTAATTTTTTTTACTCGTTCCTGGTTAATCTCGTGCAGTGTACTAAAACGAATTCCAAAGGAAAAAAGTCCAGACATTTCATAGTTAAGTGTGGTTGTGATACATTTTGCAGGAAATACTGTGGCAACCTTGAAGCTCCGAAAATATTTGCACAAAATACGATGTACACAGTTGTATAAACTCCGCTCTGCAATATACATTTAAATCACCATAAAATGTCTACGTTTTCTTGCTTAAGTTTGTGTTCATTATACAGCTGCTTAATTTATCTCATAACATAGTATGTTTAATATATCTCATTGCTATAAGCGAAAAGCGCATTGAGTTTACCAGATACTCTTTTAGCTTGCATATGTCCAACTGCGTGCAACTACCAATCTTTGGAAAATGAAAGTTGCTATTTCAACTGCTGCCCTCCTTCTGGCGATTTCTCCGTTTGCGTTTGCGCAAAGTGACCTTGAACGTGCAAAACAAGAGTTCACAAGGCTACGAGATGAGTTAACAATCGTTAACAAGATAAGCGACATTCTGTTCCTGCTCGATACCTCTGGTAGTTTGAGCTACTCTGACTTTGACACTGAAAAGAGATTCGTCATAAACTTTTTGAACACTTTACCTGTCCACATGCAAGCAGCCAGAGTAGAGGTCATCCCTTTTGGTGAAAGAGCCAGCCTATATATAGACGGAGTCTCCAGTCCCTCTTTGGTCATGAACAAGTGTGCTCTCATTCAAAAGCTAAAACAGATGCCTCTCAGCATCAATGGCTTCGGAACGAATACCAAGAGTGCCTTTCAGCTCGCTTACGATGTCTGTCTTGGAAAATATAGCGCCAATAAAAGAGGCCCATTCAATAAAGTGAGGACGGTGGTTATTCTCATCACAGACGGAATGTGGAATTGGCCGTTTCACGACCCCAGCCCCATTCCCATCGCCCAAATGCTGCTTGCAGCAAATGTAGAGGTCTTTGCAATTGGTGTCAGACACTCAATTACGCGTGATACACTTCAAAAAGTGGTTAAAGATCCAGCAAAACAAGCATTTATTTTAGGAGACTTTCTGGAGCTTGAAAAACTGTCCCTCTACCTTTCAGGAGGAGGTAAGTGAACAAAATATTTTAATCATATTCAGACCTGGTGTCTTTTGAGGTCCCGCAAAAGTTTCAAATTGAATAACTTTAAAATAGTTAAAGCTATGACTTTTCCAAAATGTTGTCAGGTAAAATTTAATTTACTAGTCCTTACATGTCCTTCAACATTGACGTTACCATGGCAACCGAGCTTTGACAACCACATTTGCCTTTTTTATGTAAAATTTATGTAATATTCGTACCCTTCACTGATATTTCTATGAATTTCTTACATTTTAGTCAAGACTTCAATTTTAAAAAACCCAAGTCCCTCTTCCATATTTGCCATTCTATCCACTGAAATTGAGCAAATTTTCTCAATCCCAGTGGCCCAAATCCCATAGTCCGGTGAAGAAACACGCAAGGCCAGTTCGCGTTCCTATTTTACCCCTTCAGAACCCTCACACGTTTTTTCTTTGGTTTTTTATTATTCTATATAATTCCGGTTGCCTGCAAATTTTTTAAGATCTTTCGTAGACAGCGAAATGAAATACCAGTTAGACCTACGAAGTTCTTTTTACTTGATGCAATGGGAAATGCACCGTACCTTAATATACTGTACCAGTTGTATCGATGCAAGATATGCCCCATAAACCAACTCTTATTCTTATTATAAGCTTGAGTCACCATTATGTTTTCTTACAATGACACATAAAAATACATCAGTGGCCTGATTCCGCAGTCGGTCACTCGCTCGTAGAAGAGAGTTCTGACCACACTTCTTCGGGCTGTCTCAGAATTTCCTTGTTATATTAGTAGTAATATTCGACGCTTTAGCTACGCTTTCCTGACTCCATTCCTTTTTTCTTCACTATTTTTTACAGGGAAATGAGGCAAGAAGTAAATGAAATTCCAGACGACGTAAAGTAAAGTTTAAACCAAAAGAAAAACAAAGTTTGTGTTATTAAAGAAGATGTCCAAAAATGATAAAGTAAATATGGGCAATACATGCTGTAATTAAAGTTAAATTTATACCCCAAAAAAAGCGCTATAAGTCACTATAACTTAATCGTACCTTATGAACCATGGCCACTGACATGCTTTAGTAACATCCGCTCAGGCGTAATATACTTCAGTAACAAGTTCGCTTGATCACAGAGACGTTTTCGACTTGTAGAAGGGCAACCATAGCAATATAAGGCAGTATAGGTCTTGCAAAATCACTTCCTGTAATTCTATGGAGCACTCGGGACCTGATTCATTGTAGAAACAATACCTTTCCGTCATAAAAAAAAACGTGTTCAGTGAAAACCAAGTCCTCTACGTTACGTTACGTTACGTTACGTTACGTGCCAATAAGAAAATTGGAGCAATTAGGGCTGCAAGCGACGAATTTTTCTTCTTAAAAAAAAGAGTCGGTGTATTTTCTAGCAATGTTTACAACAATAAACATACACTCCTCTCAGATATGATAGGCATGATTTAGTGTTAAAATATCCAAAAATGGCCCCCATTTACGATAATCATCGAATTTGTTGAATTTTCTTTTATTCGCAAAAGACTAGTCGGTAATTTCAGTCGCGACAACTGCAGCCGCTTTTCCAGTATAGGTTAAAGCTAAAGATCGTCGATTGCAGCGATTATTCTGCGGTAATTTATTAGCTTTCAATTCTTTGCGGGTTGCGTAGTATTACGAGTAATTAAATACGAGTAATGAGCAAAATGTACGATCGTATTATATGCTAAGCCATCGAATAAGAGGTTTATTATTCCACTACAAAAAAAAATTGTTATTTTGCAATTGGCTGCTATTTTTTGGTAAAAGTATTCAGAAACATCCTATTCCGTCTGTGAGAGTGACGTTAACAATGAGCAAAATGTTGGTGCTTATTATATGCCAAAATGAACGAGAGGTTAATTATTTTACTGCAAAGAAAAATGTTACTTTCAATTGGCTTCTATTTTCTAGTATGAGTATCCAAAACATTCTCATTCTGTCGCATAGTTGCTCTTTTTGGATCTGCCGGTGTTCGCCCTGTTGTAAACCGGTTAAACCAGGACACTGCAGTACGGCCTCTTATTTTGCTCGTTCTCTTGACCTTATATGGTAAAATGACATAATGGCGGAGCACCATGGGTAAGAAAATGTGGTAAACTACCGATCCGAGAAAATTTGGTAATCACGTGACCCTATACCGACCGCCCGACCGTCCGTCCGCACCACAGGCATACCAATGTAAAATAACTCAATCCACAGGTATTGCAACCCTAATGCAACTCGAGGTTATTTTGACGGGAAATCGCATAGCCACCCTCGTCTTTTAAAGCGGAAACAACTAAAGAGTCAATAAAGAGGAAAATAGAAAGCGGAAATTGTCCCTGTGTCCGTGTTTTCTAAAGTATTAAGCTTAGATTAATTGTCATGTCCACAAATTTGGAATATTGAGCAAGAGAAACACAGAGAAAGTAGGCCGCAGGCCAGCGAAGCTCAACAAGAAAAAGGGCGACAGAGATTTAGAGAGAGAGAAAAAAAACAAAGGAAACATTTTTTGCTGGAAGAACAACATGAAAAGCTTGTAACGGCGGTGACAAAATGAGAAATGCTAGCGGCCACCTATGCAAGGTGAAAATGAGCGGCAGTGAAAAAAAAGTGAACGAAAAAAACGTGTAACTAAGACGTTTCTGGAAGTTTCACGTTGTAGTCGTGCAAAACAACGGCAAAGAAATGTACAAAGAAAGTGTGCTGAACGTGCAAAGTTGCTTTTTTGCTAATTAGACCTATTGTTGTTTTTCACCATTTTCCGGCGTTAACTTCGCCGCTTAGCATAGACCTATTCGGCTAACTCAATGTTGTACCCAATTCAAACCCTTTGGGAATAAAACGTTTTGTTTCAGGAATTTCCATATCATTTAAATGTGAATGCCATATTATAATGCAAATACAACACACAAAGAATCTTATCCCCGGGAGATTTGAATTGGGTACAACATTGAGTTATGGATTGAAAGCTAATAATACAATCTTAAAATGTATGCGCCCTGCACCAGTAGCCAGTGTAATTCATGAAGTACAAGACTGATGGAGGAAAACTTAGACCCTGTTTACATGGAGTGGGGGACCCCGGTCTGGTGGGGTAAGTTTCTTTTGTTTTGTGTCCCCCAGAGCGTGAAAACAAAAGAAACTTACCCCACTAGACCGGGGTCCCCCACTCCATGTAAACAGGCCCTTAGTGGTACCTATTACTAGTCTTACTTTTCTGTGTGGTAGATCAGACACGCGTGCAAAACGTCTGCGCATGCGCAAGGTCTCTATTTTCAATAATTAAAATTTGCAAAATCTTCCCCATTTAAATTGAAAAACACTTAGGAATGTTTGATATGTTTAATGGGTTGCAGCCGGTTCTAGTATTAAGCACAACAAGGTTTTTCCGTCCTTGTTTTTCCACTTAGCATGCATTGGTCGTTTTCGTTGTTCGCATTGACCGAGCTCAGCGACATGATGACCAAAACAGCAACAATGGCTACGGCGAAGTTCTGCCAGAGCGAGCGTGGACTTTCAAACATGATTTTCGCCTTTGGTGCAAGGAGGAAAGTATGTGGTGCAAAAGAGAGAAACTAAAGCAATTAATAAACTTTGTGTTCGTGAAATTCTAAGCTTATCTTTTGTGTGTGGAGCTTACTTTTTTGAATTTCGCGGCCGGAATCTAGTTTGTTTTGGTATCGCGTATAATTTCGATTGGGGGAGGCACATGCAAATTCGCGCAGGAAGCAGGGAAGGCACGCATGCGCACTGCGTTTCTCACGCGTGTCGGTAGATCACTCAGCTTGTGGTGGAAATTTCCACACGTGTAGCAGAGAACAAATAGCCGAACCGCTGTCTATAAACATAACCAGACTGCAAAACTACAACTCGACAGCGGATGCCATCTGCTCTTTGAAGAATATCTGTAGATTATAACCTCGTTCCCAGGGTTTTTCCATTTTCTAAGGGAAAGGCACTGGGAACAATAATTAGGTAGATCATAACATTCCAATTTCATTTATGAATTCTAAAACCGTCAAATAAAAAAAAAAGAAGGGGGAGTCTTTGAGCAACGTTTCGGGTTTGATTTCGCCATTGAGGCCAAAACGCGGAAATTATTTAACTGATTAGAAATGAGGCTGTAAATTAAAGCTTGTTTTAATATGATCTATTGCGAGCACTAGCATCGGCATCGGTTCACAATTTAGGTGGTCGCAGCAGAAAGCTGTGATCTGATTCTAGGATATATGCTGTTTTCTGAGTTGGTGTGTTGTGTGTCCAACCTTGAAGACTGTACCTCGAGAGCAGAAATGGAAAAAAAGCTTTATTTTCAAATGGAGAGTGTTACTAAGCAACTGTAAGTCCTGTCTGTCATTTCTTGTTTGATTAGAAATCGTGGTGCGAATACAGAAACTAGCTAGCGATAAAGCAGTCGTAAGGATTGCTCGTAATTGACGCAGCTATTGATCGAAAAAAAGAAGCCGTGTATGGAAACTCCTTCTTTTTTTCTTGAAAACCTATTTGCTCAATCAGATCTTAAAACGTACACACGACTTATTTTCCTTGACGTTTTTGTGTCATAGTTTAGATTTGCTCGTGTACATGAGAACATTTGCACCAATTTAATTTGACAAATGTAGCTGTTTTAGATTGATCATGGCGTGGAAAAGATAGGTTGTCATAAATAGTTGTTTGTGTACTCAAGTAGCTCTCAATGGGAATATTGTGGCTTTTAAAGTTCAGAATTGATGTTTTGGCTTTAAGACAACTTACGCCTATATGCCTCTATAATTAGCGGCAGTCTTAGAAGTAATGCTATGGTTTAAAACGTAAATTAAAAATGTATTTCCATCGTTATAAAACACAATTTTGGTGTGACGTTCGACACGTTTTTTTTCTTTAAGTCTATAATTAAAAGGTAAACAGGTAATTTTCAAACGGTAAATACGTAACTATGGTTCGACATAATCGTTAGCGTTTGAATTTGATGGCTGTTTTATTTTTTACAGCTATCTTGAATCTGGAAAAGGTAAAACGTTCAACAATTCAAATGGAATATACGTTTAACACAGCCATTCTGCTAAGACATTCCCTTCTCAGTTCACGCCTTACACTTTGACTTCCTCTTAAACGTTCAGAGACTGAAAAGTTCAGAGGAAAAATGTGTTACAATTTTTTTAGTTTTCGTCCGCATTTTTTTTCCCTTTTCTTTTCTAAAGGAAGAAAAACTTGAACCTTTTTTTGTTTGTTTTCTTTGTGTTGCAATTTAGTTATTATCAATAAAAAAAATGCCAAAAAAAAACTTAAATAAACATGGCAGGATATCGGACGAATGACAGTAAACGAAGTAACATGATTTTAAATTGTGATCTGGATGAGTAGGTCCTCGAAGCTCGTTTGTTCTGATTTCACAGTCTCCGAGCTTTGTCTCAGTTTTGTTTCTCTGTACACAATAAATTATCAACATTATAAGACATTCTTGATCTTCAACTTCATCTTGGTTTTAAATTTAGATTTTTTGAGATAATTCGCGTGCAGACGTTCATAAATTTAACTTTCATCAGAATTTGTATCTTCTTGAGTATATATACTAAGCGTACTAAATTCGTCCCAACGTATTTGTCGTTAAACTAGCATAAAAGTTGTGCCGAAATATAATTATAGACACTTCTAGGTAATTGAAATCATATTATTATTGAAAATATTATGTGTGAATATAGTGAAATAAACTCTTTGTAAAGCGGTTCTAAAACACGTACACGTTGTCGTTTATTCAGCTGCCAAAAATGTCATGAATATCTCATATTTATCATCGGAACAGCTCTGAATTTAACAAATACTCTATAAAATTTCGCACGGTCACAGTTTATGTCCAACTGGGTGCAACTACCAATCTGTGGAAAATGAAAGCTGCTATTTCAACTGCTGTCCTCCTTCTAGCGATTTCTCCGTTTGCATTTGCGCAAAGTTACCTTCGCGCAAAACAAGAGTTCATAAACCTACGAGAACAGTTAGGCACTAACAAGATAAGCGACATTCTGTTCCTGCTCGATACCTCTGGTAGTGTGTCTAACTATGGTTTTGAAGCTGAAAAGGAATTCGTCATAAACTTTCTGAGCACTATAACTGTTAGCTTTGAAGAAGCCAGAGTAGAGGTCATACCTTTTGGTAATACAGCCAGCCTGTATATAGACGGAGTCTCCAATCCCTCTTCGGACAAGGACAAGTGTGATCTCATTCAAAAGCTAAAACAGATGCCTCACAGCTATGGCTGGGCAACGAATACCAAGGGTGCCTTTCAGCTCGCTTACGATGTCTGTCTTGGAAAATATAGCGGCCAAAAAAGAGTCCCATTGAATAAAGTGAGGACGGTGGTTATTCTCATCACAGACGGATATTGGAATTATCCGTATAACGATCCCAGCCCCATTCCCATCGCCCAGAGTCTGCTTGCAGCAAATGTAGAGGTCTTTGCAATTGGTGTCGGATACGTAAATCTGCCAGCGCTTCAAAAGTTGGTTAAAGATCCAGAAAAACAAGCATTTCATTTGCAAACCTTTACGCACCTTAAGGAACTGTCGGTCTACGTTAGAGGAGGTAAGTGAACAAAATATTTTAATCATATTCAGACCTGGTGTCTTTTGAGGTCCCCCAGAAGTTTCAAATTGAATAACTTCAAAATAGTTAAAGCTATGGCTTTTCCCAAATGTTGTCAGGTAAAATTTAATATAGTAGTCGTTACGTGTACTTCAACATTGACGCTACCATGGCAACCGAGTTTTGACAACCATATTTGCCTTTTTTTATGTAAAAACGTCTTATTTCAATTATACATTTCATTTAATTCAGTTTCGTATTTAATTTTTTAATTTTTAATTTTAATTTTTATTATTTTTTTTAAATTATTCACCGCAAGCTCAGTTAATATTGTTGAATAATTAATTATTCAACAATATTAACTTCGCCTTCGGCGAATAATTGTTAATTGTACTCCAGATTTTTCAGTCAGTCTAATTGGAGAAAAAATATGAATCTAAAACGACCGAATTGGCAGATATTTAGCTCAATTTTCAATACTGTTCATTTCAATTTAGAATTTCATTATTGGATTATTTTTTGCCTCTTAAGGATCCATTTATACAAAAATCAAATTTTCTCTTTTAATTCTATTTGACTACCTCAATTCTCAGATGTAAACCGCCAACACTCGACTGGGTTAAATATTACTTGTGGCGTTCCTTAGGAGTCAGGGATAGTCCCTACATTGTTAACCATGAACAAGAATATTACCATGGTACCATTTACACAATTCATCTGGGTTGAAATCTTGTGCATATACATAAAACTGTAAAGTTTGACGCGAAGAGGAGAACGACTCGCTTCAAGGTATATCCAAATCAGCTAAAAAAGGCCAAAAAGTGTGGAAAAACTGCATCTCCTCAAATCACAGCTCTTATTTCTGAAGCTTGATTTTCCAACCGGAATTTCCAGTTTTCCCACGTAAATGATATAAAGTACCTTTAGTCTCGTCACGCAAGGCTCCTTGGAAAGGAGCGTTGCGTGACGACACTGAGTTGGAGACTAGTTAGATAAGAAGTATATTTTGGTTTTATTTTTTCTAGACCCAAAGCGGACCTGGCAGCCTGTAGAGTCCCACAAATGTAACAACAATTGCAAACAATTGGAAAAGTGCATCTGTGACCTTCAAAACTATGATTACAAGTGCTTTTGCCTGGAAGGACGATGCTAGAGTAAGTCTATATCAAAAGGTAACTTTGTAGGAAATGCAGGGTACTAGGCGGAATTACAAAAATGGCATCCCTGTGGCAACATCCTTACGCTGAGATATAAGAGCAAGCACCAACATCTTTACAAGTGCAATTTACAAGTGTGGTTATTAGTGAGAGTCTAATAAAGCAATAGCTACAGTTGTAATTTTACCCTGCGAGCAGTTGGAAAGAGAAAGGGAGCTCATTTTGAGCGAATCGTTCTCCGACATTTGCCGTAATTACGGCGCAAGAATTAACCTCGCAGGATAGTAGTTGTGTCAAAAATTTGTAGCTAATCGTTAATAGAAGCCAGGCCGAGCAAGGCTCGGTTACATTTGAATTTAGCGCATGCTCAATAGGGAGAGTCGAGGCGCCTGGCAGAGGTCCCTTCTTCTTTCCGACTTATCTAGGAACATCCAAGGACCTCTACTCACAGGGTATTGTAAATTACACTTGTAATTTGGAAATTTTCAATGTTTTTCTTTGAAATTGAGCAAATTTTCTCAATCCTAGTAGCCTAAATCCCATATTCCGCGTATAAACAGGCATGACCAGTTCGCGTTCCTATTTCACCCCCTCAGAACCCTAACCCTTTTTTCTTTGTTTTTATTATTCTATAATTCCGGTTGCCTTAAAAAAATTTTTAAGATCTTTCGTAGCCAACGAAATGAAATACCAATTAGACCCACGAAGTTCTTTTTACTTGATGCACTGGGAAATGCACCGTACCTTAATATACTGTACAATCCGTGTCGATACAAGATATGCCCCATAAACCAATTCTTATTCTCTTTATAAGCCTATTAGTCACCATTATCTTTTCTTGCAATGACACATAAAAATACGAGTGGCCTGATTCCGCAGTCGGTCATTCGCTCGTAGAAGAGAGCTCTGACCACACTACTTCGGGCTGTCTCAGAATTTCGATGTTTTATAGTAATTAAAGTAAGTGTTTTATAGTAATATTTGACGCTTTCCTGACTCAATTCCTTTTTTCTTCACTATTTCTACAGGGATTTAAGGCAAGAAGTAAACGAAATGCCAGACGACGTAAAGTAAAGTTTTAAACGAAAGTAAAAAAAGTTTGTGTTAGTCAAGAAGATGCCTAAAAATGATAAAGCAAATATGGGCAATACATGGTATAATTAAAGTTAAATTCATACCCACAAAACAAGCGTTATCATTTGAGTCATTCTAACTTAATCGTACCTTCTGAACCATGGCCACTGAAATGCTTTAGTAACAAGTTTGCACGATTGTGAATACGTTTTCGACTTGTACAAGGGCAACCATACCAATGTAAGGCACTATAGGTCTTGCAAAATCACTTCCCGTAATTCTGTTGAGCACTCGGGACCCTATTCCTTGTAAAAACAATCATATGCCTTTATGTCATCATAAAGTGTGTGCAAAATCTTTTCCAGCGAAAACCAAGTCCTCTACATTGATGCCAATTAGCCTGCGTGGGGACGTCTCCTAATTCCTTTGAGAAACACAGAAGACTGCTCACCGGCTACTTGCCAATAAGCAGATTGGAGCAATTTTTTGTTGAGGCTGTAAGCGACGAATTGTTCTTCTTAAAAAGAGTCAGTCAATTTTCTAGCAATGGTTTCAACAATAAACATACACTTCTTTCAGATATGATAGGCATGATTTAGTGTTAATATCCAAAAATGGCCCCCATTTTCGATTATCATCGAATTTACTGAATTTTCTTTTATTCGTAGAAGACTAGTCGGTAATTTCAGTCGTAAGGACTGATACAGAAAAATCCATCACAGAATTAACAACGTCCATACAAGCAAAATATTATGCTACCATATTTTTTGCTGCTTATTCATGTACGTGAGAACATTTGCGTGAGAATATTTGTGCGATATATGAAACTGTCCAATATCAAAACGTTGTTCGGACTTAAGAAGAAAGACGAATATTACTTATTTGCACACCTGTTTACGGCAGAAAATTAAATTTTTCACGATCCATTTTATGTTTAATAATGCTTAGGATTGCTGTTCAACAATGTTGTAAGGATTGCTCGTATTAGAGAGCTTAAGCAACAACGTCGTTGACGGATACGAAAACGCGATGTTTCAAACTTTATCGCCCTTATCCCATCTCGTTCATTTCGTCAAATGTGGGCAATTTTTTCTGAAGTTGAATTCTAAAAGACTATGTCAATGTTCACGAAAAGAAATAGAAAGTCGTTGTCCTGTGTTCCCTTCCTCCAAAAAACGTGAAATAGGCAGTTTCACGTCGTAGTAGTGCAGTGACGGCAAACTGAAAACATGTACAAAAAAGCGTGCTCCACGTGTCAGGGGCACCCAACGAGGATATAGTTCAAAACCACTTAACATAGCATTGGTGAACGCATTTTAGTATTCAAACGGTAGATATAGGCATATTTTTATCCCCTAAAAACTTTTCATCTGTTCGGATTTCCTAGCTGAAAGTCTAGTGATCCGAAAATTACAGGGATAAAAACTTACCTTCTCGAAAATTTCAGCCAGGAAAAGGCTCCCGAAAATTCTAGGTGGCCTTTTTTAGAGTCAAAATCCCTTGAAAATGGGTAAATATACCATTTTTTAGATGTTCGAAAATCCTAGGAGAGGCAGGCAAGCAAGAAATTTTACAACAATTGCTCCGAAAATTCCAGATCTCAAATCGTCTTCCGAACAGATATTTTCCCGAAAATTGCCGTTGGGTGCCCCTGACGTGTAAAGTTGTTGTTTTGCCAATCTAAACCAATTGCTTTTTTGACGTTCTCGTTGACGTCGCCGTCGTGGTTGCTTAAACTCCCTAATGAAGCATCTATTGATCGAAACAATTGCAGCCGTGTATGGAAACTCCTCCCGCTTTTTTATTAAAAACATATTTGCTCAATCGGAGGCACCCAACGTCAATTTTCGGAAAATATCTGTTCGAAAGACGATTTGAGATCTAGAATTTTCGGAACATTTGTTGTAAAATTTCTTGCTAGCCTGCCTCTCCTAGGATTTTCGAACATCTAAAAAATGGTATAATTGCCCATTTTTAACGGATTTCTACCCTAAAAAGTGCACCTAGAATTTTCGGGAGCCTTTAATTTTCTCTGGTTGAAGTTTTCGAAAAGGTAAGCTGTTGATCCCAAGAATTTTCGGATCACTAGACTTTTCAGCTAGAAAATCCGAACAGATGAAAAATTTTTAGGGGATATTAAAGATTTGTTTGTATACTCAAGTGGCTCTCAATGGTAATATTGTAACTTTTAAAGTTCACAATTGATGTTTTGGCTTTAAGACGACTTACGCCTTTCTTGCCTCTATAATTAGCAGCAGTCTTAGAAGTAATGCTGTGGTTTTGAACGTAAATCAAAAATTAATTTCCATTGTTATAAAATACATTTTAAGAGTGACGCTTTTTTTCTTTAATTCCTAAAGTAAACAGGTAATTTTCAAAAGATAAATGCATAACGATAATTCGAAATAATCGTTAGCGTTTGAATTTAATGGCTGATTTATTTTTTACAGCTATCTGTCTACCTGAATCTGGAAAAGATAAAACGTTTAACAATTCAAATTGAATATACACTGTGTTTAACAGTGCTTTACAGCCATTCTGCTGTCTAAGACATTACCCTCTCAATTAATACCTTACACTTTGACTTCCTCTTAAATGTCCAGAGATTGAAAAATTCATAGGAAAAATGTGTTACAAATGTTTTTTCGTTCATATTTTTTCCTTTTCTTTTCTAAGGAAGAAAAACTTAAATAAACATGGCAGGATATCGGCCGAATGCTAATAAACGAAAAAACATGATTGTTTTTAAGTTGTGATCTGGATGAGTAGTGGGTCCTCGAAGTTCGTTTGTTCTAATTTTACAGCCTCCGAACTTTGTGTCAGTTTTGTTTCTCTGTACACGATATTAAACATTATTAGACGTTCTTGTTCGTCAACTTCATCTTGGTTTTTAATTTTTTAATTTATATTTTTGAGATAATTTGCGTGCAGACGTTCATAAGACTCTGTATCTTCTTGAGTATTTATACTAAGCGTACCTAAAATCGTCCCAACATATTTGTTGTTAAATTAGTAAAAACGTTTTGCGGAAATATTATAGACACTTCTAGGTAATTGAAATCATATTATTATTTAGAATATTATGTGTGAATATAGTTGGATAAACTCTCTGTAAGGCGGCTCTAAAACAATCATGTACACGTTACGTTGTCATTTATTCAGCTGCCAAAAATGTCATGAATATCTTATGTTTATCAGCAAAAAAGTGCAAATCAGCTCTGAATTTAATAAATATTCTATAAAATTTCGCACCGTCACAGTTTATGTCCAACTCGTGCAACTACGGCTTTCGAAAATGAAACTTGCTATTTCAATTGCTGTCCTCCTTCTAGCGATTTCTTCGTTTGCATTTGCGCAAAGTGACCTTGAACGCGCAAAACAAGAATTCACAACGCTACGAGATGAGTTAACCGTTAACAGGTTTAGCGACATTCTGTTCCTGCTCGATACCTCTGATAGTTTGGACTCCTTTGGCTTTGACTCTGAAAAGAAATTCATCATAAACTTTTTGAATACTATACCTGTCGGCATGCCAGCAGCCAGAGTAGAGGTCATACCTTTCGGTGATATAGCCAGCCTATATATAGACGGAGTCTCCAATCCGTCTTTGTTCATGAACAAGTGTGGTATCTTTCAAAAGCTAAAACAGATGCCTCTCAGCATCAATGGCTTCTCAACGAATACGAAGAGTGCCTTTCAGCTCGCTTTCGATGTCTGTCTTGGACCATATAGTCGCCAAAAAAGAGGCCCATTGAATAAAGTGAAGACGGTGGTTATTCTCATCATAGTTAATTGAGTGGAATGGTTATGAAACCCGTCAGACTCCTTTGTTATATGTTTTTGTGGACCTGAAAGTGCACAACGTTCAAAAGAATTCCAATCATTTTGATTGTATTGACCAATAAAAACGTTGCATTAATTTATTCCGTAACAATTTGCCAACAGAAAACAAAGGATTGTGCACTTTCACGGTGCTTTGAACATAAACTGCAGCACTGTTGTTTTTATCATTGATGTTTGCCGCTTTTCATAACCAGTCTCCTCTAGTAACTATGTTCTCATCACAGACGGAAGGTGGAATCAAGGCTCCAGCCCCGTTCCCATCGCAAAAATGCTGCATGCAGCAAATATAGAGGTCTTTGCAATTGGTGTGGGAAACGTAATTACGCCTGATACACTTCAAGAGGTGGTTAGAGATCCAGCAAAACAAGCATTTCATTTGAAAGACTTTGCGGAATTTGATGAGCTGTCGCTCTACGTTAGAGGAGGTAAGTGAACAAAATATTTTAATCATATTCAGACTGGGTGTCTTTTGAGGTCCCCCAAAAGTTTCAAATTGAATCACTTCAAAAGCTATGACTTTTCCCAAATGATGTCAGGTAAAGTTTAGTATAGTAGTCGTTACGTGTCCTTCAACATTGACGTTACCATGGCAACCGAGTTTTGACAACCATATTCATCCTTTTTTATGTCTGTGATTTTGCTAAAAGGTACCCGTCAAGTTTTCGCTTGAACACGGGCAAGGCCCGTGTTTAAGCCGGTGTAGCCGAAAAAAAAAAAAAAACAGGAGGCTTGCTGTCTTGCTAGGTGTCATCAGAGAGCCCAGGCCCAGGCCTATCTGTGGGTGGGTGACTGACTTGTTTTGTGTGAAAACCAGGGGGGTAGAGAGGGCAGATCATTTGTAACTTTGATTAGAGTTTTATTTCAGAAAGCAGTGCAAAGTCAGAGAATTTTTCCTGTGGGCTATCCCAGCCAAATCAATGCTGTGACTCATAATCATAACACTACTAGCAGAGCTTGGGGGAGGTGATTGACTAGTCATAAGCTTCATGGGTGGGGAGGGTGGGTAGTTGCTCCTTGGACTTGGCTGTCTAAAGACTCACTACGGGCACATTGTATGAAATCCACACAGATGTAAAAACGTCTTATTCCAACTGGTGGTCTATTATCAATGCTGCGTTCTGATTGATTGAGCTACTACTAGGCTATATCTTATAGTCCACTAGCAGCGTAAAGCGCGAGCTTTTTGGCGGCAAAAGAGGATTAAAGTCTAGCTTTAACTAGCTAAAATTTTTTTATTCTCGATTTTTTTGACCAACTACTTGGATTTTACTAAAACAATTATTCCTCTCGCCCTTATGGCCTCTGAGTCAATAGCCTCATTGGCTATTGACTCAGAGCCCATTCGGGCTCGTGGAATAATTGTTAATTATATCTTTCACTTAATGAAGTATTATGTAAACTGCCAACACTCGACTGTGTTTAATATTACTTGTGGCGTTCCTTAGGAGTCAGGGCTAGTCGCTACATTGTTAACCATGAACAAGAATATTACCATGTTACCATTTATACACAATCCATCTGCGGGTTGAAATCTTGTGCATACACATAAAACTATAAAGTTTGACGCGAAAGGGAGAACGACTCGCTATAAGGTATATCCAACTCAGCTGAAAATGCCAAAAAGAGTGGAAAATTTGCATCTCCTCAAATCACAGTCCTTATTTTCCGAAGCTTGATTTTCCAACCGGAATTTCCGGTTTTCCCAAGTTAATGATATAAAGTATCTTTAGTCTCCTACGCAACCGTTTTTTGTGTCACGTTGCGTGACGACACTGCGTAGGAGACTAGCTAGATAGAAAATATTTTGGTTTTATTTTTTCTAGACCCACTAGAAGATTACGTGAAGTGCTACTGGTGCATCGAAGGACAATGCTAGAGTAAGTCTACATCAAAGAGTATTTTTGTAGGAAATACACGGTAATAGGCGGGATTACAAAAATGGCATCCCTGTGGCAACATCATTTACCCCGGGATATAAGAGCAAGCACCCAATCTCTCCTCACCAGGGAACAATTTAAGAAAAATTTTACGAGTGTAATTTACAAGTGTGGCTATTGTTTGAGAGTCTTAAAACAATAGCTGCGCTTACCCTATGAACAGTCGGGACCAAGACCCTCTCCCATATTTGCTATTCTATTCATTTAAACAGAGCAAATTTGCTCAATCCCAGAGGCCCAAATCCCATATTCCGCATATAAATAGGCATGACCAGTCCGCGTTCCCATTTTACCCCTTCAGAACTCTCACACTTTTTTCTTTGTTTTTTTATTATTCTATAATTCCGGTTGCCTGCGAATGTTTTTAAGATCTTTCGTAGCCAACGAAATGAAATACCAATTAGACCTATCTGTGTCAGTAAAAGATATGCCCCATAAACTAATTCTTATTCGTATTATACTAAAGCCTAAATAGCCATTATCTTTTCTTGCAATGACACATAAAAATACGAGTGGCCTGATTCCGCAGTCGGTCACTCGCTCCTAGAAGAGGGTTCTGACCGCACTACTTCGGGCTTTCTGAGAATTTCGATGTTTATTACTAGAATAAGTACAGTGGAACCCCGCCTTACGACCACCCCGTTTATAAGACCACCTCGTTATTACGGCCATATTCTTTCAAACCAAACGTAAAAAACATTGAGTCATTTTATTATTTTGAAGATGTTTATTACGACCAGGATTTTAGAATAACGGGGTTAAATATTTGACGCTTTCCTGACTCAATTCCTTTTTTCTTCACTATTTCTACAGGAAAATAAGGCAAGAAGTAAACGAAATGCCAGACGACGTAATGTAAAGTTTAAAACGAAAGAAAACAAAGTTTTTGTTAGTAGAGAAGATGTGAAATGTGAGAAAATGATAAAGCAAATATGGGCAATACATGCTACAATTAAACTCAAATTTATACCCACCAAAACAAGCGTTATCATTTGAGTCACTCTAACTTACTCGTTCCTTCTGAACCATAGCCACTGACATGCTTTAGTAACATGTCCCAGGCGTAATATAGTAACAAGTTCGCTCGATTATAGAAACGTTTTCGTCTTTTGCAAGGGCAACCATACCAATATAAGGCACGGCACAGCTTATAAAGGAAATTGGAGCATTTTTTTGTTAGGGCTGTAAGCCACCCATTTTTTCTTCTTAAAAAGAGTCAGTGTATTTTCTGGGAAAGTTTTCAACAAAAACACACACTTCTTTCAGATATAATGAGCATGATTTAGTGTTAATATCCAAAAATGGTCCCCATTTTCGATGATTACCCCATTTGCTGAATTGTTTTTTTTTATTCGCAGAAGTTTCGTCAGTAATTTCAGTGGTAAAACTGCTATGCTGCCGCTTTTCCTGTAGAGGTTAACGCTAAAGATCGTCGATTGCAGCGATTATGAGTAATTTATAAGCCTACAATTTTTTACCTCTAGCCCTAGCCCAATTCCAAAGAAAAATCCATCAGAATTAAGAACGTCCATGTTGTAGTTAATTTTTTAGCTCAGGTAATTTTTGTTTTTCTTTTAAGTTTTGGGTATGGTAATGTATGCTAATGAAGTTAAAACAAAAATTACCTGAGATAAAAAATTAACTACAACGTCCATATAAACGGAAAATGTATTACAAAGCTTTAGGCTGAATAATTATTTTTCGTTATAAATCACTCCACAGAGATCCCAGGCAAGAAATGAAAGAAAACCTCCAAAGTTTGACGCTTCAGAATAACGACTTCGGCGAAAAGAAATTTCAGTGCTCGGTTGATTAAAGTAATAGGATAAGACATAAAGTAGTAATAAGAGTCAAATATACTTAAACAAGAAATGTCATAATTTGGGCGATGCTTAATAAATTTTGCATGATGTATAGTGAGTGACTGGTGTTTTGCTTTAATTGCAAGGTCTTCTTTTAAATTGTTCAGTCAACTGATTCCCACTTCAGTTTCTAATCCCACGGAAGACTATACTGCAATCGTATTGAGGTCTCGCTACATAGGTGCCAATGTTCAACTATACCGTACATCAGAGGCACCTCTGAAACTATCGCACGTATACTACAACCTTACATCATACGCGTTGCACACAAACCGATGACCACTTTAAGACGACTGCTTGTCAAGGACAAAGACGGACCCAAGGACAGACAGGGAGCAGTAAACAAGATCAAATGCTGCGACTGCCAGGCCACTTACATTGGTGAGACAGGCAGAAACAGTAGCACGCGACTGACTGAACACAATCGCGCAACAAGAAATGGTGATGTTAACAATCACATTGCTGAACATCATTTACGTGGACGAAACGTCAAATCGGCTGGGACTCTGCGACATGTATTTCGTATTCTACAGACTACTACTAATCAACGACTGACTTTAGAAATCTGGTACAAACTCCTCTAAATCGTATAGTCAAAAGTTACCGGCACCGTACAAATGACTTATATTATTGACGGACTCAAGCAAATCTTACTACGAGAGAATGACTGGACGACTGACAATTTGACTAAACAATAAAGAACTTTTTAACTGTGATCACAGAGTCACGGTGGGTTGTATCCCTCCCACAATTAGCCTGTTCCAGGATCTCGGTCAGTGTGGACGAGCGAAAAAAGCAAGCGAGCGGAGAAAAAGCGAGTGAGCGAAAGACAGTCCTCTCGCTGCTTTTTGCAGATTTTTCTAGTTCCGTTTCCCCACCATCCTGGGCCGGGTTGTTCCAAGCTGGGTTAAGATAACCCAGGGTTAGTGCGAAATTTGAATTCAGATTTGAAAGTTAAAAAGTAAATTCAGTTTTATTTTTTCCGTCAACAGGTTAATGATTGGATACTCTTAAGAATAACAGAGAAAATTATCCGAGAAAATGCTTTTGAAGAAAGACAAAGAAAGTCGGGTTAAATTTAACCCTGGGTTAAGCGCTAATCGGCCTTCGAACAACTAGGCCCTGGAGCCTGGAACAGGCTATCCCACAATGCAGCGCGGGTCCCAGCATTCTTGGAAATTGGTGGGTCCCTTTGCTGAAACTGCAAGTGCTTGTAATCGTTGGTCGCAATTTTCAAACAACAGAGGCCGTGTTAGATCACATGACCTGGCAATTTGAGTTTCTTTTTCCTAAGTTTTCTATTTTGGTTTATTTTACCATTCACAATGTAAACTGACTAAGCTGTGATTGTTGGAAAAGGTGCCGAAGAATCATGATTGATTTACAAACCAGGCATTTAAAAACCTAATTGAAGGATTAAAGTTCGTTTGATTTATAATCAAGATCGGATGCTGGTATTTATTCCCAAATTATATTTATTCCCAACAACTGGTATTTATTCCCAACTCCTTTACGTGCGTCCATACCTCGATACATGCACACTAAGCATAAACAAACATCTTTTAGTCGTAGAGAAAAAATTAAGAACATCACTGATCTACAGTACGCCATTTACACAATGACGTTATTTCGCGGCTATTATCATTCAGACTCGTACCCAGTCGCTATTTAAGTGTTTTTTGGGACGAGAGAAGATTGGGAATTAGGTTGAGGCGCGCGCGGGGTCCCATGGGAAGGGTCCCTTGATTACCATTAGCTTGACCACAATCGCGCTTCAAGTGTTTTGCTTTCTTCAGCAAGTTAAGGCTTTTGTTAGTTAGTGATCGCTGGGATGAGCAAATTCAATTAAATATCAAAGAAAAAAATGAAATGGATTCTGGTCGTAGTAGTAAAATGATGCCATCGTGCAAATGGTGTGTTATCACCATTCACGTGTGAATATAACGGCTGTTTACATAATTTTCTAGGTAATTATTTGTGCACCTGATCAACTAGGCAAAGTTCAGATCAAATTCGGATAACGTGTTTTTAGACAGTTTTAAATAGCGTGGTAAGTTCTTTTGAACTGTCGGAGGCGGCGTGCATGAAAATGGAATACGTAAGTGTCGTTGTCTGGTAACAATTAAATTTGGGCGAAGTACTTCCCGACAAAGTTACGAGTATTTTTAGCTATACTCAGTTTATTAATTAAAGTTTCGATGAAGATCAGTAAATAATAGCCTAAAACCGTGTACACATAGTTGGATAATCTCTCGATAATGAAGCCTTAACTAATCAACTTTATCATTTTTTGTTTTCAGTCTTCATTGATATGTGCCTTATCATTTATTCAGCTGGCAAAAATTTGACAATGCTTCGATCATTTTATGGATAACGACCGAAACATCTCTGAGAACATCACATATACTCCTGATATTTCTTACCGCCACAGTCTCTTTTCATCCGCGTGTAATGAGCACATTGTTTCGCAAAAATGAAAGGTCATTTTCCTATTGCAGTCTTTCTTCTGGCGATGTGTCCTTTCACTTTCGCACAGGGTGACCTTAAAAGCGCAAAAGCAGAATTCACGAGGCTACAAAATGAGCTAACAGGCGCCAACATGAAGAGCGACATTCTGTTCCTCCTCGACAGTTCAGGAAGTGTGTATGCGAATTTTTTCACGGCTGAAAAGATCTTTGTGACGAGCTTTTTGAACAGTATAACTGTGAGCTATCGGGCTGCCAGAGTAGAGGTGATACCTTTTGGTACATTCGCAAGCCGATATATAGACGGAGTCTCCAATTCCTCTTTAAAGCAACACAAGTGCAATCTGTATGAAAGGTTCCTACCTCTCCATAATCATCTCCATGGTTACATGAGGAACACGAAGGCTGCCTTTCAACTGGCCTACGAAGTGTGCTTTGGATCTTTCAGACCTTATAAAAGATCTCAAGTGAAAACAGTCGTTATTCTCATCACGGACGGAAATTGGAATTGGCCATGGCAAGACCCTAGCCCCGTTCCTACTGCCAAGAGACTGTATGAAAACCGTGTAGAGGTGATTGCAATTGGCATTGGACCCGGAGTTTACAAGTACAACCTTTTGCAGTTGGTTCAAGATTCAAACAAACAAGCATTTTATTTGCAAAACTTTGATCAGTTAAGGGAGCTGTCGTTCCATATCAGACGAGGTAAGTTTCGTAATATTTAATTTGAATAGTTATGAAATCACCAAAGAAAGAGAGCTACAATCAAGCATGTATAGAAGAAATGTTATTCTAGGCTTCAGAGATCGCTTTATTGCGACAAGATTGTCTCGTATGGTCGAAAATGACCACACTCCTCAGGCAATTACAGCGAATGAAATTCAGTATATGTGTGTATGTATATGCCTGTCTGATAAATATTGGTCGAAAAGTCTGAACAAGAATAAATTCGACTCCTCAGTTGGCAGTAGATCAAGTCTGTATAGTGAAGTGAACAACGAAGTCAGATTTGAATCTTATCTTGATTTAATAACGAACGTTAACACAAGAGTGGCAGTGACCAAAATGCGAATTTCTTGCCACTTGCTACCTATTGAATCTGGGCGCTACAAGAAGATACCCAGAGTTCAGAGGCTTTGCCCCCTTTGCAATAGATCCGAAATTGGTGATGAATTCCACTATTTGTTGAAATGTACCCACCCATCACTTTCTCATACAAGGGGTGTCTTCTTGGAGAGCCTATACTCGATAAACAGTAATCTTACGAATATGTCTTGTAAGGCACTATTTTTATATATCATGTCTATGTGCGATCAAAACATCTTAAATCTCAGTGCCTCTTAACTGCCTACGGGTGCAGTAAGGGAGTGTCGGTTAACTATAAAGTTTCGTTTTATTTCTTCTAGACCCGTTTGGTACACAATTGCAGCCTGTAGAGCGCAGCAACTGTAATAATTTGTGCGACCCAATAGCACACTGTGCCTGTCATTTAGTGTACGCACACTACTGGTGCTTGTGTCCAGAGGGATTCGAAGGTTCAGGAACAGTGGGACAATGCCACAGTAAGTTTACAACCAACAGTATTTCTTTAGGAAATACAAGGGCGAGCCTGAGAGGGGTGGGGTGGGGCTGGAATTGTTTAATTAGGAGGGACCCTTTATTTTGAGACTTTGGGAGGGCCTCCCAGTTTCTCTCTCCTCGGCCCCTAAAAGTATGGAAAAACTTGTTGGAGATCAGCCTGATAATACCACTTTTACGTTTTCCTTTTACGTGCTATTTTTTGGGGGTTGAAGGGAGATTACAGACGGCTTAACACGCCACAGCTAAGCTTTTGGGTAGAGCCTTGCCTCTCACAAGGGTCCCCTACTTGCCTCAAATGGACCCTGGGGAGGCCCCCTGGGGATCACAGAAACCCTGAGATCTCCAACAATATTACACAACTCGCTGCTAATTCATTATTTGTTGCAAATAATTCCACAGGGCTTCAAGGCAAGAAAAAAAAGTGAAACTAGATGCTTGATGTTTTAGGATAGTACCTACAACAAAAACGGCAAATGCTTACTAGCTGATTACAAGTTATAAAACGAGTAAGAACAATGCAAATTACAATAAAGCTTTTAAAAATACACAGGATGTTATTTGAAATTGACACTATACGTAGATCTTAGTAAGACGATCATGGTGTTGCTCCGGTGGCAATATAGCTACAATGTAAACTCAAATATACCTAACAAGGCAGGTTACTATTTGTGCAATGTAAAAAAATGTTCATAACAGTGACGCGAATTTTCAACAACTGAACTTTGTTTCCGAAGTCCGTTCCTATCTATTTGTGATTGTCTAAACTCCCAGCATGCTCGACGCGCGCGTCTGTCTTTGTGAAGCGTCGCGTTGTAAAGCCGGAGACCTCATTGTAAGGTTAGTCTTTCAGAGTTAATGAATCCAAAATTCCCACCACAACCTCGCGTAGGTTTTCACTGCATGGTAAAGTTCAAAAATCCTGCCTGCCTTGAATAAATTCATCCATTCGGTGTAAATATTCCCCGCGCTTAAGTAGTACAACTATCAATGTCAGTAAAAGTGCGTGATAATCCCCCAAATCAAATGTTTGCAGAGAAATTTCGTTTCGCACCCCTCATCGATTTTAATTAGGGGTGTAACGATTCATATTCCTTGCGATTCAATTCGATTTCGATTATTTCGATTCGATTGTAAATGTTTCTTAATTCTTATAACATAACGTGTAATTAACAACATGCAACCCTAAACCCTCAATTTGAGAATAGTAACAGGGACAGGAGGATTCACAGTCGCTTGGTTCGTCGCCATGTTTGAGAACCTGACAAAGATGGTTTGCCTTATTTGGAAATTCTCAAGGGGTGGTTGAAGGACAGCATTTTTACCAGGTAACACAAATGGCGCACGAACTGCTATCGTCTTTGCTCGTCAATCAAAAACGCACATTTTAAAGAGTTCTGGATTCCGATTTTACAATATAATAACTCACTGAGGGCACCCTGGAAAAGGTATGCAAAAATCGAAGCAAAGAATCGTGAATCGAACCGAACGGTCATAATCGCGATTAATCGAGAATTCGATTAATCGTTACACCACTAATTTTAATACTGACAATGTTGTCTGCCGGACGCCCTGGTAGTTGGCTTCCAGATAGAGGATGACCGGTTAACATAAGGGTAGTTTCATAACGCTCCAAAGTGAAATGTGAACAGACAATCGGATCGTTCTGTGGTCAATTTAATAAAACTCTTACACGTGTAATTTCGAGTATAGCTATTGTTCTCAGACTCTAAAACAATGGCTACACTTGTAAATTACAAGTGTAAAAGTTTTATTAAATTGATCCCTGATTACGCGAACGCTTCTCAGTTACCCATTCTCAGTACAACCGATGCACATAATTATCGGCTTTACTGCAGAACAAATCATGTGAACATCCTTGGGCCTATTCATGCCATTCTGGGTCACGACAGTCCACACTGTAGCAGATTGATTTCTCTACCGGTACAAAAATAGATTCAGCCTAGTGCGAACATACCCTCAGACCGTGGCTGCCTTCGCCTATGTGATAAATGAAACTCCCTTGTTCTGTGGATCCATAATAGACCGCACTACTTGGCACAGGGCAGCCAATTGTCCAATTTTTAACTTTCCTACCTCCCTGGTTCCATCTGGAGCCGGCAAATTGACAAATTCTCAGACAGCCTACATCCGGTAAAGAAATGGTTATTACCAGTTCAACAGCGACTTTTTTGAGAAGGGGGAGGTGGGGGGAAGAACCTGCGAATTTTTGGGGGGATGGATTGAACCTCTGTTGCCGAGCGAGAGGTTTGCCCTGCTTGTGTCCGATCCTCTTTTTCTACTTTTTCTCTTTTTTTGCATCGAAAAGGATCATTACTTTCTTCCAGAACATGTCGTTTAATGACCTTTCTAGCAGAATTTTTTATCGGACTTTGTCCAGTTTTAATGGAATTTTCCCTTCAATATTTACTTCGTTGTTGTTCTAGGTTGAAATACAAATTCTTCGAGTTCATCGTCGCTTTCGAGATCTTGCGGGTTCCCCTGTTGGATAACATCCAATTCCTTTAATTCTGTTGAAGCATGTCCGCGTTTGACATCAACAGCTTTTTGACTGATACTTAAGGAGTCTTCATTCAATCTTAAAAACCAGTTTTGTTTCTGACTTTGTAACTCAGTCCCAGAGTTTTCACGCTCCTGGTCTAGAGATTTAGAAACGAACTTATCTTGATAGAAAGTCACATTCTTGTTCTGTCCAACCAGCTGGCGTAAGTCCTCCTTCAGATCATTGCTCTTTGGGTTCTCACTCGGATTCTGTGGAGGTAAGAGGGTGATATTATTGTTGGATATCGTGGTAGCTTCATTCTCAAGGGGTGCTTCTTCGTTTGTAATCTTCTGTGGTTTCACCTGAGAGGAGAGTGCTTTGTCGAGTAAAGTAGCAGCTTCTTGAAATTCCTCCTACCGGAAAAAAAATCAAAGCATTTATTTTAACAAACAACAACAAAAACAAAGAAACAACAGCAATATTTTCTCAAGTGAATTTTAATTGAGCGTGTTGAAACAAAAATCCATTTGAATGTGCCTGTGTACAACTAACCTGAAGGAATTGCTGGTCCAAGGATGGGAGGCCGCAGCCAACATACGCGTCATTCATAACGCAGTACTGAAGAAGGCAGCACCAATATGGATCCTAAACAAACACACACTGTTATATTGCAAACATTACATAGTGATACAAGTAGTCAGTAATAGCACTCAATAGAGGTATATGTTCAACCTTGGAACCAAGACTTACTGAGCATACCTAATCTGAAGGAATAACGGCTGTCAATAAAATTTCAAGTTGCTAGGTACGTACGACAAGTAGGCGGGGAATCAAATAGCTACGGATTTCTTTTGGTTATCTTTTTCTTCTGTTTTCCTGTGAAAGGTAGCTGGGGATCACGTTCATAATGGCCGGGGGAAATCCCCGGTTCCGGTCCCCGGCCGCCGGCCCCCGGCCCCCGGCCCTTGATGACAACCCCGGAATATTAACCTATTTCAAGTCAATTGCGCTTCCCGTTCTCCCGGCACCCAGTTTTTATTGAAATCATATGACGAAGAGGGGATGGGGGTGGTTAAGGAGGGTGGATGGGGGGAGGGCGAGGGGCTGTTGGAGGAGGGGTGGGGAGGAGGAGATGGGGGCGGAATACGTAAATGATAAGTAGAGTCCAGAAAGGTGGCGGCGGAGTGCGAAGCAAGTTGAACATGAGCAACGCAACTCCTGAGAAATAATTTGACAATAGCGAGATAGCTGCAAATCGATACAGACCGTGCGGAAAGAGTTACGCTAACCCTTTTGGCTTTGAAACTCTGACTCGTTTTGTCTCACATAACTTCACGGGCGAACACCACAGAAAAAAAATCAAGCTTAAGAAACGGGAAGCCATGCACATAACAAAATACCAGGAGTTACCACGTGACCCGTTTTGAAGTATCCTCTTTTCGACAATTTTTAATGACATGGACGTTAACAGATCGTACAAAAACGGCCATACTTCTCAAAAAAACTTGAAGTCGACTTAACGACGACTAACCAGATCTAATCCACGGACTGAAGTTAACGTACTCACCTGACAGAGAACATGTGGATTACCAATAACAACGAGCAAAGCCTGGGCTCGAGTGATAGCCACATTAAATCTCTTGGGATTGCTAAGAAAGCCAACACTATGACGTACATCAACACCAACCAATGACTCGTTTGAACGAACCTGTAGCGAACCACAGAGCATAAACGAATCAGTAACCAATCACTGTGCAGAGATTTACGAGGAGCAGTGCACGTCTCATACAACTGGCTATAGTAACTACTTACGCAGGTGAATGAAATTATGAAAAATTATGAATTTTTTCATAAATTATGAAGGAAATTACGAAGAACAACGTATAGTTTACTTCAAAAAGGTTTGGTGTGTACAGTTACAAAAACTACAGTCACCGAAAGAAATGCACTGCAGCTAAGTCAGCCATGATTAGTGACAAACACTGGACAGCAAACGCACGAAAGGGAAGAACAACTGCTCCTTGGAAAACTTGGGTAGACAAAAAAGATACGTTTTGAAAATTTAGCCGTATATATTTCTTTTCTGACTTTGGTAGACATTCGCCTGCAGCCAACTTACAGGCGATTTTTAATTTGTAAACGACTGTGAGAAAATTTAACCATCGAAGTAAGTACAAAAGGTAATCACAGCACTTCTGCTAGTATGTCGCAACACTTACAACGCGAAAATAGTAAACAGAAAATTGTTGGTTTTATGGGACCTCGAAATGTTCAGTAAACCATGGCGAAGCTTGTTTTGACTACTTTTAGGCCCCCCTCCACACATACCCGGATACTTTTGAAAACGGAAATTTTTTTCTCCGTTTTCAAAAAATACGCATCCTTACGTAGCGTATTCGAATCGTTTTAGCCCACCCACATGAAAGCAGCATAGCATCCCTTACGGAGTATGCGTCATGCTAGAAGTATATGATGTATGACATCGTCGTATTCGAAAACCCCCGGTTTCGTCTGTCCACACGCAAACAAAAAGCCGGCGTTTTCAAAAATCTTTACTCTGGAGAGTTTTTTTGAAAAGATCCGTTTTCAGTGACTGTTTTTATCCGATACGTGGGCGGTAGGCCAAAACCGAAGAAAAAATATCAGTTTTCAAACAAAAACGGATATGAGTGGATGAGGCGGGGCCTTGAGCTGCATTATGTTGGAGGCTAAGGCATGACTTACAGTTGAAATGATGATAACAAGTCTTTCCTGTCCCTGAAATTCCTCCACAGATCCAACCTTCACTTCACCCAATCCAAAACGATCCAACAAAAGGCGAAGTTTCTCTACCTACGAGTTAAATAAAACGACCAAAACAAAAAATCGCAATTAGCCTAGCGAAATAACTAACAAGAGCTCTGACCAATGATATTCTTTAATAAA